AAAAAAAAGAAATCATAGAATATATCAATCTTTGAAGACATGGACTTTGTGCAGTTCCCTCTACTTCAAGGACTCTTCTCCTCTTGTGAATTCCTGCTCATCTTTCAAGGTCAGTTTGATTCAACCTTCTCTGACCCCTGCCCACCACCTTCTCTGTTCCCCCTCTCTAGTACCCCCACTGCAACAATGCTCGCAGTTCCCAGAGACCACCGATCCACAGACCCCTTCCATTTTCTATTATTTACCCTCACCTGTCTTCCTATCCTTCCTCCCATGCAACACAGATTTCTTGATACATCATTATAATCACTCCTTTAAAAACACCCTTATCTCCTCTGTCCCCTCTCTCTCAGGTATATTTACTCCACAAAATCCCAAACCTGGCTGAATCCAACCATCTCCTTAGTCAGTTTGAGTAGTTTTCTTTAAAGTCATGACCATGACCCTTAGCTTGGCAGTCAACATGCACCAGTGGACCTACCACTTCCCTCAGTAAGTTCATCTTCCTATTCTCTGAGATGACTGTTTTCATACTTTCTTCCTGCATCCAGTTCCATTCCCACCCTGAACTTGACTTCACCTCTCTGACTTATACCTCACTGAGAAAATCAGAAGCCATCAGAAACACCATTCTCTTCCAACCAGATCTACAAACTTACCTGCACCGATTTCCATATTCTCAGCTGTTCTTTCTACTTGTGATCTGGATCCAATCCCCTCATGACTTCTCAACATCACTCCTGTATTCATATTTATCACCGTTTATCCCTGCAACAAGCTCTCCCTCATCTGCCTCATTTCCATCAGCACAAAAATATAGCCCTTTCATAAAGGGAAATGTTATCTTCCATTTAATACTCCCATATACCTAGTGCTTATGTCAAGTCTTCAAACTACAGAGAATGGACATGTTTGAGAGAGGAGTAAATGGAGTGGTGAAGGAAAGGGAGATGCCTACTCAGGCAGCTCCTGTAAAACAACCTTGGTGATCAATGAGGAGACGGACCCCAATGCCAGATCACTTTCTCAATGTAGAGGGAGAGCTGAGGACCAGAGAGACAGAGCTTAGTCATTTGACACTCTAAGAGTAAGTGTTATATCCATGGACAAGTACAGAGGGAGAAAAAGGTGAAAGAGGGTATTTCCCACATTTGGAGGTTGACTAAAGAAACCAGATATGAAGAATGAGGAAAGTACAGTACCATGGAAACAAAGGAAACAAAAACAGAGAGAGTAGGAGAGATAGTAAAGGCGTGGAAGTCACAGGAATGAATGATACCAAGGGCTCAGGGAGAGTGGTTAAAATCTTCAAATGGTCTCCTCTGAGGAATAAAGGACAGGAGAAGGTAAAACAAATGTGAAATATGATCATAAACAAAAATTATCAATACAGAGGGTACAGTACTTACCCAATGGCTACTAAGTCTTCATGATGAGGTGAGCAAGTAAGACAGAAAATTGTCCTGGGTTCTATAAAGAGGTGCTGGCTGTCATTCCTGTTAAGCCAGTAACAGAAAACTACTCCTTTTTCATCTCCAGATACTATTAAATCCTTTACTCGAGGAGACCAATGCAATGCTGATATTGTATGCTTTAAAACAAAACAAAAATACATTTGCTTCTCATTTGTCAATGCTGAATTTTTAGTTTTTAACCTGTACAATACTAGGTACATGATAGGTATTTAATAAATACTGTTAGTACCACTTGTAGAGCAAGACTACATTAACCAAATGATAGGAGAATTTAGGCTACTGGGGATCAAAGAACCATTTTAAAAAATTTCTTCCTTTAATAGCTTAATGCAAAGTTCTTACTAAGATTAAGTGAGTCTTCTCCTTTCCAACATTATCTCAAAAGGCAGGTATATCAATTAATCAACTGGTTTAGAAATATGTTTCACTCACTCATTTATAGTTTACATCAAGAGTCTTTTTCATGTAAAGAACCAGATAGTGAATATTTTAGACTTTGTGGGCCACATTGTCTCTGTTGCAACTACTCAACTCTGCCATCGTAGCATGCAAGCAGCCAATACTTAAATTGTAGACAATACTTAAATGAATGACTGTGGCTGTATTCCAGTAAAACAATTTGCAAAAGCAGGCAGCAGTGTAGTTTGCTGACCTGGTTTATACGTATCTCCTTCCAAAAAAGTTTTGAGGCACCTTACAATACAGAACTTCTTATCTAATTAATGAACACAATTATAAAAGTTACCTGCACAGATGAGCTAGCAAAACTATACTTGAAGCAAAAGAACCCTCAGTACAGATAGATAATAACGGTCTGAGAAACCAGTAAGCCATGGTACCTGATGCAGTGCATGTTCTGTCACAACTGTTTTTGTCTCTACATCCCAAATTTTCACAGTCCCATCGTCAGAGCTGGTGGCACAGAGGTTGTATTGACCCGGGTGATGAGAAAACGTGAAGCCAGAGACCCTTTCGGTGTGTCCCACCAACTCCCCTATGACTTCAAGCAAAACCAGACTCCAGGTTAGAGCGCTACCTAAGATTTCTGGCAGAATCATACTGTCCTGAGATGATGAGTGGGATCTCACTTACTCTACTGTATAACAAAAATATCCAGGGATTCACAATCAGAAACCCCAAGTGCTGGTATTGGCTCCACCACGTACTTCAGACAAGTCATTTTATCTCCTTGAGCCTCAGTCTTCCCAACTGCAAAATGCTGTTGACATCCCTTGATGAGCCCAGTTCTCAGGCTGAGAAGCAGCTCAAATGAACAATGTAAAAGTGATTCTTATTTAGATCTGGCCAGAGGTCGTTTGGAATAAAATAAGTATCTGGCATGCCATATCCCAAGGCATAATCAAAACCTAGTTTGGAACCGGAAAGCATCTGGCTCAAGTCACTTATCTTACAGAAATGAGTATAATATATTTGCAGGATCTTGCTTAAGGCCTGGAGATGTAGGCAGCCCCCAAGCCCAGGAAGGCTCCCAGGGGCCCGAGCGCACTGGGTGGGGGAGGCAGGCAGGCCGGCCATAGACGTTATAGATGCCTGGAATTAGACAAGGATAACTTTTCAGAAAGCGAGCGGTCCCACGTGAGAGCGCCGGGAGGCGGGACCGCTCGGCCAGAGTGGTGTAGCTCAATCTTGGAGACCTGGACGCGACTCAGCTCAGTGACTGCGAGCAGACCTTTCTCCCTGCCCAAGCCTCAGTTCCCCACCTGTAAAGAGAGGGGTGGCTGGAGACGCCCACTCAGCGCCCCCAGGGAACTCAAGAAGTGCAGGAAGGCTGAGGCCCAGAGAAGGAGAATTACCTCGAAATGGGGGCGTCCCAGGGATCGCGCCCGCGCCCGGGCCCACGCGGACGAGGAAGACAGAGGTCCGCGCCGCGAAGCCGAAGAGGCCCCCGGGCACCGCATCGCTGCATCGGGCGCAGTACCAGTTAGGGGAGGGCGGCAGCGTGCGCGGCTCCTGTTCCATGATGACCCGCCACCAGGGAAGAGGGAAGGAGCCGCTGGGGCAGAAGGTTCGTAGCCCCACGCCGTAGCCGGGAAGGGGGCGGGGTTGGCTCGGAGCCCCGCCTCCTCGGGCCTGCCGCTACGGCGCGCTCGGAGGCCCAGGCCGCACCGCGCGCTCTGCTCCCGCCGCCGGGGGCCGGGGAGGGCGGGGCCCCGCGCGTCGCGCTCTGCCTCCAACCCCGCCCGCGGCCGAAGGCTCTGGTGATGCCTGAGCCTAGCCCTGAGGTAGGCATTCTCGCCTCTTAGAGCAAGGTACATAGTTAAAGGGTTAGACCGGTGGAGTCACCTCCTCGCACTGCCGGTTTATTCTTTGGACCTATTCAACCGCTATCCCATCAAGTATTTTTTTTTAACGCTACGTGCCAAGGCCCTTTGCTAGCTCTGGAGATGTTTTAAAGATATGTACAAGAAGCCAATTAACAAAAGATAAAAAGGTCAAATCAGAAATCAAAAAGAGAAGGAAGCGTGTCTGCAACTAGGTGGAAATTCTGGCTCTGGGTTCTTGGTACTCAAGGAGAAGCAGAATGAGTGACACTCTTTTGATTTGATTGATTGAGTGCCAGCTCTGTGAAGGGCACTGTACATGGTAAAGGCTGTGGAGGAAAGAGAATGGAAGTTTCCTTCCAACGCAAACATGCTAAGATGCTCAGATTCAGCACTTAGACTCTCCTTCTGAATCACTTGTTTGCATTGGGTATCTAGCCCTCCTACATCCGTAGCAAATGAAACCTGTAATATCTCTCCTATTATAGTGAGGTCAAACAGATATTTGGGTGTGGGCAGCGGCACTAACTTTGGAGACACCCAATCCTAGATTGACCACTGGTTTTGCCAGTTGTTATCTGAGAGACTTTAACTTATCCCATATCTGTTTCCTCATTTGAAGAAGGAAGATGATAATCCATGCCTTGTTGGATTGCTGTGAGGACTACAGGAGTTTTAGTGAAACGCCTTTTGGGCATACATGGTAGCAAGTGCCCGATGAATATTAACTCATCTTTTGGACATCAACCTCAACCTGGAGATTAGCAGGGATTAGGACGTCATACTTAGTATTTGAACTGTTTGTTCTTTATTTTTTATTTTTATTTTTTTTTTGTTTGTTCTTTAAAAGAGCTTTCCCACGATCTCTAGTGATCTTTACGACAAGCCTGTGCTGTAGGGATACTCATTTCTGACTGTTTTACCGACGAGAATACTGAGGCCCACCCAGGTTAGGTGGCTTATTCACGGTCTCTGTTTTCCTAATCCTTTAGATCATTTGTGAGGTAAGGCTTCGCAGTTTTTCTGGATCCCGATGAATTTCCGGAAACTCGCTACTTTTAGGCCTTTATTAAGTCATTCATTCTCAAGCAAGGCTGGCCGGACCACACTTAAGCGCCGGCCGCGTGTTCACGGTCTCCATGACAACACAGGTATAGGTACTGCTGGGTCTCCCGACGGGGAAGAAATCCGGAGAATTGCGCATGCGTCTTGTCCAGACGGCGTATGAACTCGGAGGCTTCCGTAGAGGGAGGGACAAAGATGGCGGCGGCAGTACTGGAACGTTTGGGTAAGGATTTCTTTAGTAGTTAAGGGATGGAGGAAGGGAGTGGAGGTGGGAGTCTGAAGTGATGGCTTGTGTTGATATTGCAGGTGCGTTATGGATGCAGAATCTGAGGGGGAAGCTGACCTTGGGGTAAGTTTCTCGCCTCGGAGTTGCAGAAGGGCCCGAGGCTTCCTTACTAGTCTGTCGATTACTGAGCGCGTGTGCCAAGCTCTGCTCTAGGCTCTGGGCCTAGCGAACAAGAGAGCCAGTCTCTGCTTTGCCAACCCGTTTTTTCCCCGCCGTGTTGCATAGCCCTGCGGAGATCGGGATTACCCATTATCCAAGGGACGTTGAAAATGTTTTTTCTGAACAGTCTCTTCTGATCTTTCTGGACATGGTTAGACTCTCCCAACCATGTCGGGAGCGTGCAGCTTTTCTAGTGACCTCTCTCGTTACTTGCTTACGTGAGCAGGCACTGTATTGTAGACAACCGCGGTTTACATCGTGCCTCACATTGAGTTAAGCTCCTTATACGCATTACCTCATTCTCGTAACATCCACGTAGTGTAGTACTGCTATACCCATTTTTCAGACAAGGAAATTGAAGCCCCCAAAGTAAAATAAGTTGCCCAAGGTCCCCCAGTCATAGGAAGTTTTGAAGCTTTATATTATACTCTCTAGAGCATTCTTTGACCTCAGGACAAAAGCATTCTTTAGGGTTAGGAAATGCAGTTGAGTCAGTACTGGCAAGAAGCCTTTCTCTGCCCCCCTCTCATTGTTCCTTGTCAGCAGTACAGCTGTTGATATTTGGAGATTGATAATCTGATTGTAAATATTCTGATCGGGGCATTTGTTAGCATTTATTGTGGTTTAGTTCGTGGGCTTTGGAGACAGAAAAGTTGAGTGTGAATCCACTTCATAACTCTGTAATTTTGGAACAGTCACTTATCCTTTCTAAGCTTTGGTTCTTTTATATGAGTAATGTTAGTACCTACTTCATAGATTTTTTTATGGAGATTACATGAGATAGTGCATATGAAGTGTTTCGTATAGTGGATGGCATATAATAATCCCACCTTAAATCCTAGCTGCCATTAGTGGTTTTGTCGTTGTATATTATTATTTATAATATTTTTATATT